AAAAAGGTTTTATAAATAATTGGTAAAATATTTAAATCTCTACAAATTGTATTGTAAATAATAAATTTTGATTCTCAACAATAAAAAACAAAATCGATTTTTTCAAGACTGCATAAAAATTCTCGTTTTTCCCTTTTATTGTTTTTTTTTTTTAAGTTTTACCTAGATTCAATTTTCTACTAGAAACCACCCTCAAAGTAGAAAATTGAAGAATTTTTACTGTTCCTAAAGGTCAAATACAATCATTTTGAAAATAGACATAATTTTAAAACCAATACACTCATCTCTCCTTTCAGAGCCTAAAATTAATAAAATAAAATAAGAATTACAAGTTTGCATTTGGGTACTTTATTTAAACAATCTCCAGCTTCAAAACAGCATAATTATAAACAAAATATTGTGGGAGCTGAACCATTGTGTGTCGTACAATATATTAAACACACTACATAGTGATTATTATTCAATTAATTAATTTCTACGTCTTGCGTCGTATTTTTTAATCTCGCAAACTCGTTTTTTACAAATCAAAATAAATTACCATCTGATGTGCTTTTGTGTTTTTAATAAATAAAACCATTAACCATCATGTCGAACGTCAAACTTAGGTACTATTATATTTTATCTATAATGTATTAAAGTATAGTATTATACACATATTAAAAATGTTATTGGTTTTTACTATTGATACTATAAAATATGACAAAATTAAGTACCAGTCACCACAATAAAAATAATTTACGTTTTTAATACTTAGATAAATATTTAATTACAATGTTGTTTATAACTAACATATACCTACAAGGTATTTGAAAAACAATGTATTCATTTTTTTTACAAACTACAGTTAGCTTTTTATGACTTATTGACTTCTCTGATGTACCTATTTAGTTAAACCTGCACTGTCAAACACACAAACTCGCACGTATAAAAAAGTTTTATTTTCGAACTTCATTTTAAGTTATTAAATGCTGCTCTATAATGTAAGGGATTTTAATTTTTAACTACATTACAGGCAGTATTGTTCTATGGTAGTATACAATGAATCTATCTAAAATATTCTCCAACCCGTGGGCCATGACTTATTGATAATGTATACTTTTTGTTTTGTGCACGTTATACATACTATATAATAGAAAAATGAAATAATGAATGGCTTGTTGTAGTGTCGTTACTCTGGCCATAACGTAATATTGTGAGTGAAGAGGTTAATAAACAATAATCAATTGATTAACGCAATTATTACAATGGCAATGAACTCTGTTACATGCATGATGCGTCGATACATATTAATTTGTAATTATTGGTATTAATTAATTATCTAATCAATGAGCTTAGATAAATCTATAGTTTGGAAATTATATACTTTCGGTACCTATATATTAGTATGGTGTACTTACATAAGGTCGTCAGTCTTTGGTTCGTGTTGATTGTACTTTTATACGGCATAAAATTTAAAATTCACACGCTATAATATATTACGTTTCTCTCTATAATATATAATACTATTATATACGTTGATTTATTAAGTGCTTATATATAAAAGAATAAAATCAAAAATTATTTTTAATAATTTTTTAAAAATGATACGCGACGTCGAAAATAAGCCGCAAATGGATGTCTAAAGAAAATACGGTGATGGTTAATTGAACGATTTCCGGTGAGTTTCTGAGTTGCATATTATTCGGTATTGTATAAAATAGGTACGCAATTTCGTATTGTACAATACATTACGCGTTTGTGTCTAGATCATTATTTTTGTCCGTCTATAATAAATATCGAAGGGCTTACGAAGGAGGAGACAGTTTACGACGACACGCAAACGCGTACCTGTATAATAATAATTAATAATCATAGGTAACAGCATAGGTACGTTGAATACGTATAATAATATTCGGTATATTATGCCGTCGACCCGCGGTGACCGAATACAGTATTGTCGGTGTGCGGCATGACGGTTTATGACTACCTATACGACGAGACTTTTAAATTATTATAATAATAATAATAATAATATCTCGTACCTAATCGAACGGGATTTTCGGACATCTCACGGGTGGCTATTATTATATATTGTACGATCTATCGAGGCGTACCTCTATATAGGTGCACGGAATACGTATATTATAATACACCTGCCTACGTGTTGTACTGGCACACACACACACACACACACACACACACGCACACTGATACACATACGACACACCTGTGTGTGTGTGCGCGTACAGTGCACAGATTTCGTATAATATAATATTATTATTATCATTATGTGTGTGTGCGTTTTGCGAAATTCGCCTCGGGAGACATCGCGCCGGTCGCGGATTCGTCGAGTTTTGTCGTCCTTAAATAATAATAATAATAATAATTCATCGGGGTAATGGGTGTACACACATGCACACACACACATACGCATACCGCGGGCCAAATGTCCGAATCGACACCGTGTTGCAGAAGAATCTTCTGGTTGCCGCCGACTTTCGCTTTTCTATACATATATATTGTATGCCTCCATAGACCGCCTCGTGTGTGGTTGTTCCACATAAACGCCGTAGTCGAGCCGCGAAAACCCCTCCGCCGTCTTGCGTACATATTTTAATAATAATATGACGTGTGTATAATATGTATTGGTAATCTTGGACATTGGAAGGTATTATAATATTGTTATTATCTTTACATGTCCGAGTGGTAGTAGTAATAATATCAACAATTTTTTTTAGTCATGATCGATCAAAATATTATTATACATTTCCCGTCCGCGGTATTAGCTTTTTTTTCGACAATTTACGAACCGTGTTATATTATTACGATGCTGCAGTACACACATTATACACATCACGCGGTACGATATTGTTATTGTTATGATGTATACGATTCGTGATTTTTCTTTTTTCTCCGCTATTGTTTGCACAGACGGGTAAAACATATTAGCCGGGGCATATACCTACGATAATATTATATGCGCGTGTTCGGATTTCGTTTACTGCGGTTTTTCGCAGCGCGCTCACTCTCCGCGCCGTCGGGATTACCGTGAAACCGGAGAAATTTCCGCTGACGGACGTGTGTGTGTGTGCAGCATATATTATACATTACCCATATAAATATATAATAATAAAATATATTTAGCGTGCCCAGGACGCACGCCGCCGTGTCTAACGCTTATTATTATATTATTTAATTATTATTATTATTAAAAAACACATTATATTATATACGTACACGTGTTTCGCACGCGCATCGTATTATCATGTGCATTCCGGCATTCGCATATAATATTATTTATATGTACGTACTTAATAATATTATTATACTTTTCCTCTCGTCCGCGGTGTAGACCGTGTGCAGTCGTGGGTCTCGCGCCACCAGACGGATATAGTGAAAAGGTGAAGGTGTTTCGGATTATTTGTTTCTTTTATCGTCGTTATTATTTCAAAAGCGCGTTAAACGGTCCATATAAAATGTGTGAGCAGCACGGTTAGATTATGGAATGTGTATTTTGCGATATTATTTTCATCATTAATTACGAACATTCGGCTGCCAGCAACAGTGCAACGAGTCTATATAATATATTAATGCAATGATGTACCTGCAGCTAGTACCGGTGTAATATTATATTATTATTATCATTATGGTATTCTACTCAACGCACAACGTACATATTATTATTATAATAATATTGCTATAGCTCACAGCGTTATGGTTCTCGATTATATATTTTTTAGTGTCTCTCTCGCAATAATAATATTCGAATGCGTGTACGTCTTCGTATATTATATTATTATATAAAGGTTTGACGCTGCGTTACATATTAGGTGTATATCATATATTATTATAAATGCATATTAAATATAATATTTAGAACGTTTTTCGTTTTTACAATGTTATAGTGTTGTGGCCTTATCTTGTTATATAACATATATAATACCCATATCTGGTGCCTATCCCAGTTTAGCCTACATATCTGTAGGAATATATAATAATATTTAATATTAACATATTAGACAGTCCTAATTTTCTGAATTTTACATTGTATGCAATAATTTGGTAATACGTTTTCTATAACGTTTTTTTTTCACTTCAACCAGTATAGATTCACATTTTTACCACCCATTCTTTAGTGTGTAATTGGATTTTCTTTTATACATTCTATAAAGTTAGTGTAATTGATTTTGACGAATAGATATTCTCAAACTTGATTTGACCGTACGTACCTGACCGATATTTTTTTAATGTCTAATAAAAAATATAGACTTCATTTTTTTCTTATACCAGGTCAATGATTTATATCCCATCTAATTTACTGCCTATAGATTATAATCTCAATGAAACAATCTGGTTTATCAATTTGTTTGAAACCCAGTATAATTATATACTTCTTCGTAATATAGGTAATCAGTTTGATTTTTTTTTTTTAGGGGATGAGTATCACATTTTTCATCGACATTTTTTTATAATTATAATTACCATATTATACCAAATTAAGCCATCGTCTATTTTATCTGCCACCCGGAGACGGCCAATCCTTCAATAATTAGGACCTATATTAATTTTATTGTTATGCTTTACAGTAGGTATATAAATAGCTATAACATAATCTTCGACAACGTCAAATAAGCTGGTCATGTGCGTTACCCCACTTACTAATTTCATAATGATTTCTGTGTGTCTAAATTAATTCAACCATGTTACAAATAAAATATACGAGTATAATAATATATAACATGGTAACTCGTAACTGTGAAAATTTGATCAAAAATAGTACCATCTTTAAAAACGATAAAGTTATGAAAACATTATTATTATATTTAGTTATAGCTTATGACAAAAAATTAACAAATTGTATAATTTAATTTGTTTAGTTGACGATGCGGGGCAACAAATCAGTTTGAGATCATTTTCGGAATCACAGATTTATCCATGAAAAGCTTTGATTTCTACCTTGCAGTCATTGATCAATATTTTAGAAGCTCGACTTCAATATTCCATCAATTAAGTTGAATCTAATGAAGGTAAGATGACATTGTTTACTTTTTGAAACTTTAATATATCTTAAGACTGATAAACTATTAGTTAGATAAAAAAGTGTTTTTTATTAATTATTAAAAGTATTGAAATTCTTGCATTCCACTTAAAGTTGTATATAGTTTAGAATATAAATTATACCAACGGAAAATATTCTCTAGTAAACATTACTTATTAGCAGGCAATGGCAAATATGAAAATATTAACACATTGGAAATTTAACTAACATATCATATAACGTATATACCTACTTTAATTATTTGATATTTCTTCAATTTTACTTCGTCATTACTTTGTTTATGCTGTAGTCAATATACTAACTCGTAGGAATATTTTCGAAAATCTACTTATTATTATGATTTTAAAATTTGTTTTATAAATATGCACTAACAGGCAACAGTCCATCAAGGCGTTACCTATCAATGTAATTACATTTTAATGATTTTTACAGAAATATTTTATGTTAATCTCAACACAAACATAACATTATAGTAAATTATAAAATTTTTTGTCCGATTACTCTTTACAAATATATAGATTATAGTAGATAATTTAAAACAGTAATGTTTTCAATGTGAGCTGTTTACATTTTAAATTTTTGAAAATGAGTTTTTATATAATGTAAAGTCTTCCACTACATTTTTTGAAAGCGTAGTTGATTTTAATTATGCCTTGTATTGTAATGATTTATTATGTTATATATATATAACATATATTATACTTTTTTAAATAGCATTCATGTTTTAATTTCATTTTCTGAAAATTGTAATGTTTGATGTCGTATAAATAATTTATATTAAACCAATAGATCAAACTATATATTTTTTACAAAATTTAGGTCGGATTTAAGTGTTCATTTTATATTTCTTATAACGGTGTACCAACTTTGGATAGAGCAAATACGTCTCAAAAATTAATGATAAAATTAGCTAATTAAAATTTTTTTACATACTACTTCGTCATAAATACATGTTTTATCTTATTTTAGAGATATATTATTTATTATTTAGGAGATAATTTTCCCCATACTATAATAATACTTCTCATTTTTATTGAAAAAATGATATATTGCAATGGACAACTATACGATACGATAATTTTTTAAAAATTATATTAATTAATTTTCAAGGTTAAAAATGTATTTTTAAAAACTGCCAAACGCTTAGAAAAACTGAAAGTAATGTACCTATTCGAATTTGAATCTTCCGTCATAACCAATAATTGTGCAATACGAGGAACGTGCAGACCGAGTCCTATATATGTATGTCAAATAATATTGCGAAAACCTTAGAAAAATATCAAAGATTTTGTTATAAACTATAACCTTCGGTCCTATACTATATAATATACTTTGCATACATTTGGTTACGCCTACGTTAACGCCTTATGTTGAGCAAACATACAAGGGGGGTATCATCCCCTATATTTCTTATCAAAATCTCAACTATATAACCTTATCTAAGAATTAAATGTTGAAATAAATAATGACCTAATTATTGGCCAACATTTAATTTAATTGATTCCATAATCGATATTAATTGTACATTGAACACTGAACATTTCAAAAACTATTCTGTTTCTGAGATTAAAATAATTTAATGGTAATTCTAAGGCAACTATATAAACAACTAAAAAATAATCACAAGTTTAAAATTAATCAACAACTCGAATTATTTGATCTCTGCAGAATGTTGTGTTATACAATACTTACTGCTTAAAGTAAAAAAAAAAAAAAAGAATAATCATACAATTTTACCGATGAAATTGATGTCTCGAGTCAAGAGCATTCGGCATTTCAGCCTATGTTTCATGATGTTATTATACTATAATTAGTGCGTTTCTCCGAGTACAGTGCGTCGGATTCCTTCGACTTATCTTTATATATTATGTATTATAATTTATGCACCTACATATGGCTATATTAAAGTATATATTTGCGTTTCTGATACGGTACACGGTTTATTAATACATGGTATATGTTATATATATGTATATATTGTAACCGGTAACCAGAGTCAATTAATTTTTTGAAACGCTCTTCGGCGAAGAGTATAGGACAAAAAAAAATGTCGTCACCTGACCGTGTTTCGACATGGCCAGTACATATGAAACGGCCGGCGTGGGCGGGTTACAAGTATATAATATAAATATATAAGACAACGATAATGCGTATAATATACGAAAGTACAAAACGATAACAATAATAATGGATAAAAAAACGAACGAACCGACTCGGCGGCGGCGGTGTCCCTTAATGAGCATCGATAGTACCTACGCGCCTATATAATATTATTATGTACAGGTATGTATGTTGGTACCTACACGACGCATTGCAACAACAACAACAACAAGTAACAACTACAATAGTAATAATAATAATAATATGTATGTTTATTATGTACAACAATTGCAGTTTGTGTGTGTGTACAAGCCATAATATCATATTATATGCACTCGGCGCTTGGTAGGCGTTTTGTTGTAATATCCGTGCGCATAATAATATAATGAGATTTGGCAGGCGAAGATCTATGATCGTGGCCGGGGAGGTCGTCGGAAACAATAAAGTGATCGATAAATCATTTCACCGATCTGCCGCGCGTTTTTTAACGGAAACGTCATTTGGACTTAGGATACGATATTACAGCACCAACGACGTTTATTACAATTAATAATAGGCACCGAATCGTCGATGGGTGCAATAATATGATAATATTCGAACGATCGTATTTCCGACAGCATCGCGCGAGTTCTATGCAGGGCACTGCAGATACGGTCGCGGTCGTATAATATGTTTATCTAATAATAATTTATGTTACCTATTGTATTATTTATATTTAATGGTATTATATTTTATTGTACACGTCAAAATATAATATTATAATATTATTATGCGTTCGCCTATAGGTAGTAAATAATAATACTATCGATATCGTAGAATCGGCAACGTGGGTAATTTCGCGTCCGGAGAATGATCGATGGTGTGTTGTAGAGCTGTATGATGGAGGGGGAGCGGCCGGCACACATATGCCGTTTTCGTCCGGTCGTTTTCATGCTGGGTCCATCTCAAGGCAAACGTGTTCTCAAAAACACTGATAATAATATAATATAAGATATTGCTCCTTTCCCCCCCCCCCCGTGACACCCAGACCTATGGCCGCCACTTCCCTCCGGCGGCGTCGGCGGTTTCGCTCACAAAAGAACGAGCCGCGACAACGCACCCTCCTGTTGCTGCCGTCACTATATTATATGATATTATCTCAACTCAAATATTGTTATTAAATACAATATTATAGATACGAGTACACGCCGATAACGGAAATGCATATTATTCTTATAGGCACTTGGCGAATGATTACGATATAGTATACACTTGCGCGGCAACAAGTGTGCCAACGAATAATAACATCAAACACTCCATCGAAGGTGCATGCAATGTTAATGCAGCGTTTCTACGCCGTTGACCGATGGAAAAATATGACAGTAATATTATTATAGTCGAGTCGACAAAATATAAACATCTACGGTTGTTGTGTATATAGGCAAATGAGTATACTAAAAACATGGCCGTTGTTCCGGTATGCATCATGCGATTATGCTATTATAATATTACTGAACGATATAATATAAGTGATTAAAAACAAAATATAAATAATTGTTGAAAACAATTTGTTATTTATTTGTAATTTATGTAGAAAAACAATCTAGGTACACTCGTCCAGTATATGCTATCAGCGATAATTTAATGCTGTTTAATAAATACTTCGATATTATGCCAATTACAAATTAGTATAGTGATTAGTAGCCAGTAGGTATTATAAGACCGCTGACCGATACGGACTAGCTACAGACGATTACTTACATTTCGTCAGCCAGTCGTATCTCTCGTGAAAAGACTTTTTGTACCTCTCCACGAATCTATCTCTATATATTGTTATAAAGCCTTTCTGACTTCCATCAACTGTCAGTTAATCCACACATTATTTTCGAAAATTATTGTAACCGAAGACTTAGACGGCCGACGAGTATTCTCTATATCGGATCTATGAAGTTTTCCTAGTGGCTTACATTTAAATAATTTGACGTATACATAAACTTCCGGCAGTCATGCGGCTAATATCACTGATGATAAAATGTATCCGCTCGTAATTACTTGTTTCCGATACACTCGTTTACACGTTATATTTCATTTTTAATTGTTAACAGCCGGTGGACCGCATACCGGAACCATATTAGTCCAAAATAATCATATAAGATAGGTTTAGTTCAGGTTATTGGTATGTTTGATATAGTTAAATGTCATCAAGTAAATTTGTAGGTCTGTGATCTATAATAATTATTATTAATTGATATTGTTTATTTTCTTGTATAGTTAAATGGGTAAATCTGTACAACAGACATAAAGAGTAATATAACTCTATATACTATAGACCATAATGATCCTAGGTCGAATCTATGAAAGATAATATACTTTTCAGGGCGACGAATCTAACAGCAAGTTGCTCTATTATTAGGCCTAGGCTTATAATGTGTGCTGTGCGATCGTTCATATTTTAGATTCTATATTTATTCCGAGCAGTGTTTTAAGTTTTAACGTGCGTCGTTTATGTTAATAAACATTTGGAACAAATTATAAACCATCCAAGTCGAATGCTATAACCATAATATTATAATAACACAATATATACCCATTTCCTGTCGTTTATTTATACGCACTGTCAGAGGATGGAAAAACATCACTCAATTATTAAAGTTAGTAAAAAAAACAAAAAGACCAAATGAAATGCACATTCGATTGTCTGCAGTAGTTTAGTAGAATCACTATATAGAATCATATAAGCTTTAAAGTACAATTTCATTTTCTGCCATTTTTTGGAAATGACCATAGATGTAACAATACATACAGTTATGTTAAATCAGTGGTTTGATTTAAAATGTACAGTTTTCGTGTATGTTCAGGTGAACGTTTAACGATATATTTTGTCACACA